CCTGACCCAAATCGGAAGTGGACCCCACTCAAATAATTGCCCCAAAATGACCATTTAATGCAATTTTTAACACATTTTTCCAACAATCCCCCACATGAATGAAAATTGATTTTTGAGACTTAAAAAGACATGAAGATAGGAGGACATGTTGTGTTCACCGGATGATCCTTGCATATGGAGAGGTAGGTTTTATCCTTTGAACCTTCCGCTGTAAAGACACGTTTATTTACAGGCTGTCTAGTTGACTCGATGTCCTTGAACTATACTTCCGTCGTGTAAACATTGACTTATCTTTACACAAGAACCTTCCAACTTTGTTCCGTTCTCATGGGTGTGCCCGTTTTGGCCATGGGTCACCGTCCTGGTTCTGCAAGAGTTTCTAAAGAACTGAGCCTTTACAGTTCTCCTTTGAAGCAACCCTCTTCTCTCTCACATAGGTGATTCTTTCACGAGTATCCCACATATTCTTCCAATGTTATCGAGTAGATCAACATTTTAGAATCATTAAAGCAAACGTTTTTTCTAACCTCGTGCGGGAGTCACTGTTTTAACGAGGAGTGGGTAGGAGTCGAGGACCCCCACAGTGACCATCCTTCGCTCTATAATTTAGTTGTCCCTTTTGAACCTAGGACCAACTAGGTTGGGTATGCACTATAGAACTTTTCAATTCACGGGCTTTAGTCCCATTCCTTGTGACAACGTCTCCAACAATTCTCTATCCAATGCCTTGGTTAGCGGATCCGCTATGTTATCCTTTGACTTCACGTAGTCAACAGTGATAACACCCGTTGTGAGGAGTTGTTTAATGGTGTTATGTCTACGACGAACGTGTCTAGACTTACCATTGTACATATTGCTTTGTACCCTTCCAATTACCGCTTGACAATCACAATGTATGCATATTAGAGGGACAGGCTTTTCCCAACTTGGAATATCCTCGAGAAAATGGCGTAGCCATTCAGCCTCTTCAGTGCACTTATCCAAGGCTATTAGCTCAGACTCCATCGTGGATCTAGCTATTAACATTTGTTTTGAGGATTTCCATAACACGGCTGCACCTCCCCAAGTGAAAACATTGTTAGGAAATTGATGTAACGTACCTCGAAAGTACGGCAGCGGAAGTTTAAAAATTTTCCCAAACAGATCTTTCCTGATTATGACAAAATAACGAATATGATAATTATAACAGATCTGAGTTAGAACTTACAGATCTTCCAGCCTAGCGGTGATAATCCTTGACCTTAGGTATCCACGTGATTTCTCCTCTCCGAAAGAACGGTTAGATCTCCCTAAGAGAAAGGCTAGGAAATCTCTTTGCGGTGAAATAAACTGGTAATACTGAATCTAAAAACTGGTCTGCAAATTATGAAGGAGAAGGATGTATTTATACTAGTTCGAAACTAGTTTTTCAATCACAATGAAAGTCTTTCTAATTAATGAGTTCTAATCCTACTAGGACCAATACTCCTAATTAATTAAATAAGTAGATAAAACAAAACAAAATAATAATAATAATTGAGATGTGGCTGCACGCCACTTTCTAATTATTATATATTAATATTTATTTTATTTACTTTTCTTTTAATTCCAAATTACAAAAGAAAATATCTACTTTATTTAACAATAAATACATCTTATTTAAGTATGATAAATCTAATTTATCTTACTTAATTAATTCTATCAAATAGAACTCTCCTTCAGCTTCATGAATTAAATATGTTTAATCTAATTATTATTTAATTCATTTTCAGTATTACGAATTAAATATTATTTAATCCAATTAATAATATTTAATTCCTTCTAACAATTCAATCGGAAGGTATAATCACTTGTTGTGTGACCCATAGGGCCTTATATATTAAGCACTAATCAAATTAAGGTCTTAGCGAATCCCTAGACGATTCTCCAGACAAACTTAATATATAAGGACGTTTGCGAGGACTATACAAACTCCCTGTAATATAGAGCTCATAGTGATACGGTCCTTTCATTCAACGAACATTCAACTAAGTCTAGAACTTGATATTGTGTCTATTCCAATAACTTAGTCTCTATCTCTCAATCTTTCTAGATGATCCATAATGATCATATTCGATATCCAAAACGAATATATCTTTGCATTGGCCAATGACTTTATGATCCATCTAGATATGAGAAGTAGAATGTTCTCTCTTAATCTATTATGAGGAATGAATTCTTTCTTGGCTCAACTACTACTCCGTGTGCTTCGTGATTCACCCAACACATGCCGTATCTACCCCGATTGGAGTGCAAACGTTGGTCATGGTCAAAGTACATCACTCCACACATGTAGTACGGATTGACCTCAAGTCGGAGGACTATTACACTACTCTATATGCCGATAATCCCATAGACACATGAATAGAACTTATCAAATGGTTTCTCGGTGGGTATGCCAATATTCTCCAAAATATCTATGTGACCATCATGAATTACATGAACTCATAGTTGTGAGATCAACTATACTTTCTAAATGTATGATGCAGTCCACATACCAATCTTATCGCATATCATCAATATCCCATTCTTGATGATCATTGATTGGGGCTATTTTAGGACTTTATGTTATATCATATAAGCTCCCACTTACTTATTGACAACATAAGTCCAAGGGAACACAATTATGAATAAGATATTGACAATCGAAATACTTAATCATCAATGTGTAATACCGTATATATCAAATATATAAAACTGAATGTGATCAAGTACATATATCTCTAAAAAGTGATTGTCGATAGGACATATATACTAACAATCTCCCACTTGGCCTAGTGCCAATCACCGATGCGTCTAACACCTAGACTCTCAAAAGTCTAGTATGTTTCTCACATCTCAAAGGTTTGGTGAATGGGCCAGCCAAATTTGTCCTCTACGGGAAGGCATTCTATTGCAACTTCTCATCTTGATATTTGTTATCAAACACGATAGCATACTGGTATTTTCTAGTTCCTTACTTTGCATCTTGGTTCCTTAGCTTGTGCAAATACACCGGTACAGTCACAATAACAATTATTGGATAATTGTCGCTAGGAATAACCCCTATTTCTTTAAGGAACTAACGTATCTAAACGCTTACCTATGTTGCATCAAATGCAACAATTTACTAGGCTCTAGTTGTCGAATTTATAGTAGTTTCTTACTTGCAACTCTTTCAGCACTACTATTACATTGAGACTAAAAACATATACTGACTGTGACTCGTAGTCTTTCTTATCATACATGAAACTAGTGATAGAATAATTAAATTCTACTAGTTCTTTCTGTCTACCATAGACAAAAGATATTCATGAAGATTTTGGGTGACCATTCTTTCACGGACTTCAATGAGGGAATATCATTCTCTATGATCAACATATATGATTATAAAGACCACGCTATCCTTGTTGCGCACTCTAAACACGCAAGCATCCTCATTTCATTTGATGAGGTCAAACGATTTGACTATTTCATCAAAATTAATATTTCAACTCCTAGAGGCTTGTTTTAGCCCGTAAATAGATTTCTCTAATTAACATAATGATTTAGAATTTGACATGGATGCAAAAGCCTTCAGGTTGTACCATGTACACCTCCTCCTTGAGGTTTCCATTAAGGAAATGGGTTTTGATATCCATTTGTCAAATCTCATAATCATAGTATGTAGCTGTCACAAACAAAATCCGAATGGTCTTTGAGTTTTGCAACTGGCGAATAGGTATCACTATAGTCAATTCCTTTTCTTTGACTATAACCTTTTAGCCACTAGCCTAGCTTTGTATGTTTGCACTTTGCCTTCGACATTAATTTTCTTCTTGAAAATCATTTGCATCCAATGGGTCCAACCCCAACAGGCAAGTCAACCAAGTTCCATACTTGATTGATACACTTCGAGTCCATTTTAGATTTTATGGCTTCTCGCCACCTCTATGAATCAACATCTAATATTGCTTCTATGTGGGTCTCAGGTTCATCCGTATCAGGAATCTTAACATCGTCATGATCCTCCATGAGGAAGCCAAACCTAGTTAGTTCATGATGAATCCTAGTAGACCCACAAAGTTGAATGTTTTGCGTTTTGTTCAGGCTGTTCATTCTGATCGTGAAGAGGTTCTCTTTCATTGGACTATCCAATGTTCAGAGAGTTTCTGGTGCTTTACTCAGAGAGGGAGAGTTAGGTGCCAAAGGAATGACAACCATGCCATTACTCTCTTCATAAGAATCACCTGCTTGTGCCAAACGCTTCCTATATTACTCCCACTAGCTGAAGGATATACTCCTAGAGACATTCTTCGACTTAATTCTCCCACTGAATCCTTCGCCAGACCATCTAACAAATCTTCATTCTCTATGTTACTTCATCTTTCAATTTTATTAGTGCACATTTCTTTACATATGTAGGGCAACCCATATTTAATATGTGAAGAAAATGTCTTTTATTATACCACAACTCATATAGTACGTTTTGCACTAATCAAACTATTCAGAATGCATATTGAGATTTATAGTGTGTACCCTAAAAAGAATGTTTGGAAGAGAAAATGAATTCATCATAGATCTAGCCATGTCTAACAAGGCCCTTTTTTTTTCTTGCAGAACTTCACACTTCTGAGGTGTTCTGGAGGATTTCATTATGATTGAATTCTTCGATCTTTTAAATAAATCAGAAACTTTACTTAAGTACGCTTTGGCTTGCTATCCCTTTTCCTAGAAAAGGTTTATTAGTTAATTTACTTGAAAGACAAGATTCACAAGTTCCATATGACTCAAAGTCAAAAGGTGTTAAATAATCTAATTTATTTAGCGTTGCTATTCTTGTTTCATTAATTTGACCAAGTTTGCAATGTCATAGATAGGTAGTAATTTTATGATTACTTAATCGAGATCCTTTTATTTTATTCATTTAATATCTAATATGTCGATTAACCATTCATAAGAAAAGCATTTCCACAACAACACCATTTTATGAAAATAACAATTATTATTAGCAAAATGGAAATAGAAATCTTTTAATGTCTAACATATGAATGGAAATAATCTTCTTGGTAATAGAAGGAATAAAATAACAATTATTTAATTCTAATCTAAAACCACCGGGCAAATCTAAACTATAAGATCCTATCACGTTCAGCAGCAACTTTTGCTCCAGCCTTCACGCGTAGGTCAATTTTACCCAGTCCAACTGCTACACTGCTTCTCAGGCTTCTGCACATTTTTACAAATGTGTAAGCTATAAGTTGTATCTAATACTTTAACAATGAGAGTTAGTTATAGACATATTTATTTAATGATAAAAATACCTGAGCTTGAAGCACCTGGTGCTTTGGCTAGATTAGCCTTATACAGCTCACAATCTCTCTTCCAATGTCCCTTTTCTTTGCAGTAGAGACAAACATCCTTTGCAACCTTTGGTTTCATATGACCTCCACCTTTAGGCTTCAGAGCTGTAGGAGTAGGTCCAACCTTACCTTTCTTCTTTTGCTTATTCTTGTTCTTAGAACGAGACTTAGCATTAGAGCTTACCATAAGAACAGTCTTTCCTTTAGAGGTTGAGGCTTCATAAGACTTGAGCATGTTATGGAGTTCAGGCATGGTCGCTTTCGTTTTGTTCAAATTATAATTCACAATGAAGTTAGTAAATGAACTCGGAAGCGAATATAGGATGATAGCAGCTGAGACACGATCCTCAAACTTAATTCCGGTGGTAGCAACTCTTTCAATTAAGCCAATCATTTTGAGGACGTGCTCAGACACGTTGCCACCCTCTTGAAGCCTACACTTGAAAATGTCTGTCAGAAGTTCATACTCTAGAGTCTGACTCTCTGAATCAAACAGACTTTTCAAGTGTTCAAGCATCTCGAAGGCGCTCATCCTATCGTGTTGCCTTTGCAACTCCATAGACATTGCAGCCAACATAACACATTGCACAGTTTTAGCATCAGTAACGTGTTTCTCTCGAGCAGTCATGTCAAACGTGGCAAACTCGGGAGAGTTAGCATCAGGAATCTTGGGTACCGGCGTGTCTAACACATACTCAATATTTTCTTGTCTAAGAACTAAACGCACATTTCTTTCCCAGTCCAGAAAGTTTGGTCCAGTAAGCTTGCATGTATCCAAGATACTTCTCAATGATAAATTCGACATTCCTAAAAGCCTAAAGAAGTTCAAATAGAACGGAATTAAAATCATATATTAATTCCTATGATCACATCTAGTTAACTAAATAATATGGACTTTTAATTATTTAGCTCCCACTATTTTGCATGCTCTTTGACCCCAATAAAAAGAACATGGAATGTTTTACAATCATAGTGGCCAAAATCCTCATTCATACTATTACAGTCCCAACTTGGGCTGATTACTGTAATAATATAATGGGTAGGTCCCTAGACCAATTGCGTCCAAGCAATTTTTGGTTGATCAATTTTTAAATTGATCAACATCCTTAAATTAACACTGACGCTTGGGCGACTCGAGCTAATTTAAGTAAGTCAAAACCATCACACGATCACAAACATATGTATCTATAAATTAGTTCTATATTTTGTCGAATGGAATAAACACTTGGGTGAAATATTCTTCAACGAAAAAATATTTCTACTAATTTAATTATGATGGGTGATGTCGTTATCCCAGATAAGACTTAAATTTTAATTTATGGGGAACGTTTAACGGAACATTAAACTATTTAATCAAGATGCTAATAACATATTATCAAATAATATGTTAATGAGTTCTAACTCAAACATATAAATTTAAAGCATGCATTATAAATCGAATTTATAAACAAATAATATAATCAAATATTTAAAGGCATACTAAAAATAATAATGATCAGTTAGGTTAAAATAAACGTACTTATTCTCTAAGATAATAAATCAAACTTAATTAAAAGGTATGGGGGAATGCACAAGTAGTTCATTCGCAGCAGGTCACACGTGTTTTACAAGTCTTAGGACTAACATTTGCAACATTTGCAAGAATATCCTTATTGTCAAATCCAATTCACAATTTCAGATCTCATCCTAAAACTTAAAAACAAAACAATAATTGCTGGTTGGAAACTCACGTGTCTGCAACTATTTTCTCCCGTTCTAAAATTTCCAAAATTTTAAAAACATCTCAATAATATCAAAATTTTCAAAATGACTCCAAGCTTGAAATTAGCGATGGAAAGAGAGAAAATCGCCGAATGATTGGCCGAAAAACATGTTTCGATCACCGACACGTTATTATCCAGCGGTGGTTCTTCATCTTTGCCAACAAAATCGAATTTGAAAAGAGTGTTCAAAAAGCTCGAACCGCCATTGATGGAGGCCGAGTTTTCTGGGAGGAACCTTTGGAGATTGGATCTCCGTTGAATGCTCCAGATCGATTGACAACGAAAACTCCGTTCTTCTCTTGTGGCCACGTGAAACTTGTTGGGATTTGTTCAGGAAAAAAAACAGCGGCCATCAATTTCTTTATTATCTCCTTTCAGGTTTCATTGACGGAGGTTGAGGTGCAGATTCGAAAAAAAACAAGAACAGAGAAAAACAATCGCTCCTGCTCTCAATATTGCTCTAATCTCAGATCTAATTAAATCTAATTTTCGAATTAAGATCACACACAACAAAAAATATCTATTTCAAAACTACGCAATCTAAAATTCGTATAATGTCATTAGAATCAGTTTGTCTCTGATACCACTGTTAGGAAATTGATGTAACGTACCTCGAAAGTACGGCAGCGGAAGTTTAAAAATTTTCCCAAACAGATCTTTCCTGATTATGACAAAATAACGAATATGATAATTATAACAGATCTGAGTTAGAACTTACAGATCTTCCAGCCTAGCGGTGATAATCCTTGACCTTAGGTATCCACGTGATTTCTCCTCTCCGAAAGAACGGTTAGATCTCCCTAAGAGAAAGGCTAGGAAATCTCTTTGCGGTGAAATAAACTGGTAATACTGAATCTAAAAACTGGTCTGCAAATTATGAAGGAGAAGGATGTATTTATACTAGTTCGAAACTAGTTTTTCAATCACAATGAAAGTCTTTCTAATTAATGAGTTCTAATCCTACTAGGACCAATACTCCTAATTAATTAAATAAGTAGATAAAACAAAACAAAATAATAATAATAATTGAGATGTGGCTGCACGCCACTTTCTAATTATTATATATTAATATTTATTTTATTTACTTTTCTTTTAATTCCAAATTACAAAAGAAAATATCTACTTTATTTAACAATAAATACATCTTATTTAAGTATGATAAATCTAATTTATCTTACTTAATTAATTCTATCAAATAGAACTCTCCTTCAGCTTCATGAATTAAATATGTTTAATCTAATTAATATTTAATTCATTTTCAGTATTACGAATTAAATATTATTTAATCCAATTAATAATATTTAATTCCTTCTAACAATTCAATCGGAAGGTATAATCACTTGTTGTGTGACCCATAGGGCCTTATATATTAAGCACTAATCAAATTAAGGTCTTAGCGAATCCCTAGACGATTCTCCAGACAAACTTAATATATAAGGACGTTTGCGAGGACTATACAAACTCCCTGTAATATAGAGCTCATAGTGATACGGTCCTTTCATTCAACGAACATTCAACTAAGTCTAGAACTTGATATTGTGTCTATTCCAATAACTTAGTCTCTATCTCTCAATCTTTCTAGATGATCCATAATGATCATATTCGATATCCAAAACGAATATATCTTTGCATTGGCCAATGACTTTATGATCCATCTAGATATGAGAAGTAGAATGTTCTCTCTTAATCTATTATGAGGAATGAATTCTTTCTTGGCTCAACTACTACTCCGTGTGCTTCGTGATTCACCCAACACATGCCGTATCTACCCCGATTGGAGTGCAAACGTTGGTCATGGTCAAAGTACATCACTCCACACATGTAGTACGGATTGACCTCAAGTCGGAGGACTATTACACTACTCTATATGCCGATAATCCCATAGACACATGAATAGAACTTATCAAATGGTTTCTCGGTGGGTATGCCAATATTCTCCAAAATATCTATGTGACCATCATGAATTACATGAACTCATAGTTGTGAGATCAACTATACTTTCTAAATGTATGATGCAGTCCACATACCAATCTTATCGCATATCATCAATATCCCATTCTTGATGATCATTGATTGGGGCTATTTTAGGACTTTATGTTATATCATATAAGCTCCCACTTACTTATTGACAACATAAGTCCAAGGGAACACAATTATGAATAAGATATTGACAATCGAAATACTTAATCATCAATGTGTAATACCGTATATATCAAATATATAAAACTGAATGTGATCAAGTACATATATCTCTAAAAAGTGATTGTCGATAGGACATATATACTAACAAACATATCCACTTGTGGACTTTGAGTCCTTAATGTTGGATATCCAACTAGCTGGATATCTTCCATAGTGCAGTCCAAGGTTTTGGGTTTTACGTAAATACCTCAAAACTATTACTATTGCCTTCCAGTGTTCATCACAGGGGTTACTAGTATATCTACTCAACTTGCTAACCACAAAGGCAATATCAGGCCTGGTACAACTCATTAGATACATCAAGCTTCCAATATTCCTAGCGTATTCTACTTGAGAAATACACTCTCCACGATTTTTGGTAGGTTGTACGTTTTTATCTAATGGAGTCCTTGCCTCTTGATAAACATCCTTATTAAATTTCGTAAGGATTTTATTAACGTAATGGGATTGGCTTAGCGTAAGACCATCTGGTCCTCTAATTATTTTAATCCCAAGGATTAAATCGGCCAGCCCCATATCCTTCATGTCAAATTTAGAATTTAACTTGATTTTGGTAGAATTAATCATTAGATTATTGCTATCCACCATGAGTATATCATCCACATATAAACATAAAATGACATAGCCATCTACCGTGCTCTTCACATTGACGCATTTGTCACTTTCGTTTATTTTAAACCCATTAATTAACATTGCATGATCGAACTTTTCGTGCCACTGTTTAGGGGATTGTTTCAATCCATACAATGATTTAATTAATTTACACACTTTCCTCTCTTGGCCAGGAACACGAAAGCCCTCGGGCTGTTCCATATAGATTTCTTCGTCTATATCGCCATTTAGAAAAGCGGTTTTTACATCCATTTGATGAACTTCCAATTTCCGTAATGCGGCAATTGCTAATATCATCCTAATGGAATTTGTTCTCGTCACAGGAGAATACGTGTCAAAGTAATCATGGCCCTCATGTTGCTTGTATCCTTTGATTACAAGTCTGGCCTTGTACTTATCGATGGAACCGTCAAGTTTCATTTTCCGTTTAAAAATCAACTTGGATCCCAAAGGTTTATTTCCCGGAGGAAGATCAACCAATTCCCATGTGTGATTTTTAAGGATAGAATCCACCTCACTTTTGATGGCTTCTTTCCACATAGGACCTTCGGTAGACGTCACGGCTTCCGTATAAGTCCGTGGTTCATTTTCTACCAAACATGTTAGAAAATCCGGTTCATTTTCTACCATACATGTTAGAATATCCGAGTCAAATTCTACCAAGTAGGTGAGAAAATCCGATCCGAAGGATTTTTCAACTCTAGTACGTTTGCTACGTCTGGGTTCGGGTTCTTCTCCGGACCCCTCGCTAGTATTTTCCATAGCTACGTCAAATGTTCGTTTTGACGTGCTGGGTCCTTCGTTGGACTTGCATGAAAATACGTCTTCAAAGAATGAAGCATTCTTTGATTCAATAATTGTGTTTTTATGTACATCCGGATTATTCGAATCGTACACTAGAAACCGATAAGCACTACTATTTTGTGCATATCCAATAAAAATACAATCCACCGTTTTTGGACCTATTTTTATTTTCTTAGGTGTTGGTACAAGCACCTTTGCAATACACCCCCACACTTTTAAATATTGATAGGAATGCCGTGTGCCTTTCCACAACTCGTACGGAGTTTCATCATATTTTTCCGGGGAACCTTGTTTAAAAGGTAATTGCTTGTTAAGATTGCTTCACCCCACATATTTTGTGGCAGGCCCGAACTTACTAGCATCGCATTCATCATATCTTTCAATGTGCGATTCTTTCGTTCGACAACACCGTTAGATTGAGGTGAATAGGGTGCGGTACGTTCATGTACTATACCCACGCTCGCGCAAAAGTCACCAATTGGTGCTTCATACTCACCATCTCGATCACTTCTAATCGTTTTAATCCGTTGATTAAGTTGGTTTTCCACTTCATTCTTATAAAGAATGAATTTATCGATTGCTTCATGTTTATTTTTAAAGAAAAAACATAGCTATAGCGAGCGCTATCATCGATAAAAGTAATAAAATATTTATTACCGCCACGTGTTTGTATTGATTTAAAATCACAAACGTCACTATGAATTAATTCAAGTGGTT